CTTCTCAAGTATCGATCATGAGTAGAAGGGTTTAGTTTGTTAATCAGGTATAGGCTTGCCAATAGGGTTCTAAATGCAGCTGAAAGCTTTTAACACAACATATCTGATTATCAATCAAAATGATTAAAAAGGCAAAAACATTCAAAAAGAAGTTGCTTGATTATCAACAGTAAAAATGCAATAATAGAAGAGCTAGTCATATCATATCTTAATGCAGAAATAGAGATCCAGAGAATTGGTTCATCTCTGACAATCAGCCTTCTGTTTTATTCTATAATCACCTCTTGACTAGGGACAATAAGTTCACCTGGGGTGCTCAGTACCACTTTAAACAGAAACAACGAGCACTTCAGTATTATACTCCCTCCATCCACTATTGTTTAACAGCTATACTAAAAATAGTTGTCCAAAATTAATTGTCAATTTAAACAATCAAGAAACAGTTAGTCACCTTTTTACCAATTCTGCCAGTAATGTGAAAAAAGTTGCTTTTAAAGTTACATGTGAAAAAAGTTGCTTTTGCAGCTTTCAAAAAGTACAAACTGTTTTAATAATAATTAATAGTAGGGTTATATTAGTCAAATTGCAACTTATATTAAATTTTTCTTAAAAGGTTGTCCATGATCTTATCGTGACAAACAATAATGGACGGAGGAAGTACTAGCAATGTAATATCGACTCAAACTTGACATAGTCCCCATAGTACTAAAGATCTGATTATAACTGTAAAGAAATGGCACATGGGCCTAACTCAACCCCAAAAACTAGCTCATGAGAGGAAGTTTGTTCAAGTCCATATAAGGAGACCAAATTCTCATCCCTCTACACATGGGCCTAACTCAACCTCAAAAGCTAGCTCATAAGGGGAGGTTTGTCAAAGTCCATATAAGGGGACCAAATTCTCATCCATCTACCGATGTGGGACATCTTAACAATACCTAATTATACAATTATTGGATTCAAAAAGACAAGGAGGTGGAATTTGTTGCCATATCCCTTCATCACCTTTATATTCTCCTGATAGGTGTTTTATGCAAGTGTTTAATTTAAAAAAAAGAACTTGTCGCTTTTCCCAGATAGAGATTCATATCTCACTGCTTTCAGGCACATCCACCACGAGAAGAAGGTAATACTTCAGGAAGAAAGTACCTCAATGTAACAACCCTAACCATACTGAAAATTTCTGACTAATATTCATAACCGAAGTGCTCAAATTTATGACTTTTAATCAAATGTGCACCTAGAAGAATTGCATTTACCTCCATGGTCAGGAAATTTCTTGAGAATAGTGTCAGCAGCTTTCAAGCCTTTCTTATACTGCTTTGTCTCATATGATTTCTGCAACAATGAAGACATCCGGCTCAACATTTAACATACTTTAGCCAAACAGTAATCAAGGAAAAAAAAAAGAGGGGGAGGGCATGTCATATGTACTCCATTCATACTGAATTAACTGGAATATCTCATGTTAAATAGTCATATAATACTAACAAAGAGGATTATATGTCATGTTTTACTAAAAAGAATGCCTGGATTCAGGGTACGAGAAAAAGCATCTAACTGTTGGCATGAATTTTGCCTTGATAGATAAACATAAAGTCTTTTAAAATCAAAAGTAGCACAATGCTCGTAGTATGAGATTACAACATGGACCTTGCAGAAAATCAGTTCCTGTCTAGACTTTGGTAGGCTTCCTACATCATATACATTTTGCATTACACCACAAACATACCTAAAAAGAAAAACTAATAGCACAAATATGAAGCAAAATACCTTCAATCACAAAAACATAGCATGAAATAAAGCAACCAGCTTTTAGCATGAATTTTTTTTTCGTTTGATAGGTAAAATAAAAAGTTTTGTTGATCAAAAGTAGCTCTAAGCTTGTACTCTAAAATGACAACAGAAAACCCTTGCAAAAATTCTGTTCCTATCTAGACTAACATGTGAGGCAAGGAATAACTCTCATACGCTATCCACGTCACATACATTGCATTTTAAACCAAAATATCATAAGAGAAAACTAGTAGATTTTAGCTTGTGTATGTTGTCCTTTGCTCTTTTGAAACATTAGTGATTCCCCTTCCCTCCAAAAATACTCACCACATACAAGTAGATAATTTCTCTTTTTTCTCTGGTTTTCCGGGTGAATTTGGACAAGGAATCCTCGATTTTTGAAAATAAAATTATTTTTATAAGGATAAATAATTGATAATAACCTTTTGGAAGAAAATTACATATTTGAAGACTACAAGCAAAAGTGCTATTAGTCACATTTGAAAAGGTTTGATATCATCGTTTTTCCTTGTCAGTTTTGAAAAAGTTGGTGTTTGTCAATATAAATCCTCTATATGTCTGTGAAAGGTATAAATGCTCCGTATATTCTGCTATATTCTAACTCAAGTCAATCCAATACTGGTTCTTAATATGTTTTTAGGGGTTCTCCAAAACTAGGAGTTCACTAAATATCAAACATATATCTGCCCACACCTAATGTTAAAAGCATCTACACCACCTTAACATATTGTCATCGCTTGTATGAGCCTTTGCTTCATAACTTCTTCTCTTTTTGATAATAGTGGTATCTAGGCTAGCTTCCCTTCACCTTGACTAGTTCAACAAGTTACTGTCACCACCCACCAACAACAGGTAACTTCGTCTATCAAGGCCGGTATAGATGGGAAGAAATCACCTAGTGTTAGTGTTATTGTCTCTGCTAAGATTTGATTTCATGGTTCATAACTCACTTCATAGACCATAACAAGAATTTCGATCTTAGCTAAGAATATTTTTGACTTCATGATCTCCACTTCATAACGTTGTATTCTTAGCTAAGTCTTAGAGATTGTAGGTCTCATAATACAAATCTTCTGTAATAACTTCCCTCCAATGTGATTTTTAGGTTTATTTAGTTGCTTTTCAACACATCCAATCACCATATTGTCGCATCTACTAATTGGTACATTTGGAAGTCTATGTCGGACATGGGCAAACCCACTCAATTGATCTACTATTATTTTGTTCTCTATGTGTGTGATTTGCAAGTAGTCTAGATTCCTATTAGCAATAACTTAAAGGTCTCCAACATGTCCTTAATACTGAGACTACAACCTTACCAATTTCAAAAAATAAAAGTATGAGAATTTAAAAAAATATTTATGTAGTGTTCGTACACATGTCACATTTTCACTAATTTTATAATTTCTTGAATTTTCTATAGTTTAATTTATTTTATTTTTTGTAGTTTATATACTTATTTTATAATTTATAAATTATTAGGTTTACACATCGTGCCTTGGAGTTTATGCCTTGGAATGTATCAACGTAAAATGTCTCACCGCCCACCCTTTAAAAGCAGCTTTGCTAATCATCCTCTTTTTTTGGTAGTAACTTCTTATGACACTTTTTTTCACAAGCTCTGTCAAACACCACACCATACTTATGGTTCTAGTCCGTTAGACACACCTAAAACTTCATCTTTTACTTTCTTATTGCAACTTATCATTTCATAGAGAGATAAAGGAGGAGGATTTGATAGATTAAAACTTAAGTCTTGAAATAGTCTGTTTATCATGATTCCTTATAACAATGACATGACAATCCCGCCACAAAAGTATTTTGGAGCATGATTATATATTTGTTCAGCAAAAAATCATCTCCAAGAATAGCTGTCACTAATACAAATTCACAATTGCACTACACTTCCTTAATTCGCATAGCAACGGAAACACCTCTAGCCTGTCCAAATTCATAATTTCATAAACAACTTAACAGATACAGTTCACGCACCCGATATAGTACTGTACAATTGTCGCTGAAATAATTTAGCAGAAAATACATGCTATTAACTGGCATGAATACAAAGTAATTGAATAAAATGAATACGAACAAGAAACAAAAAAAAAATAAACTCCATTGAAAAAGAATATTTTTTAAAGAGAAACGAAGAACTTACAACGATGAGTTTGAAGAGGTTGGCCTCTTTGGCAGGAAGCGAAGCCCCCATTTTTGAATAGCGAGGGTTCTAGAGAGAGAAAGAGGAAGAAGATTGCAGGTAGTGAGACAGTGAATGGGAAAAGATACAGCGGAGATGGTGGCGTTTATCTGCTGCAACCCTACTGAGATATAGTCGAGTTGAAGCTTTCGGGCTGGGGAGTCCGCAGGGGTATTTGAGTAATTGCGTTATTTGGTTACAATCGTGAGGAATTTACAATTTTATTACGTTAATTTAGTTCCTAATAAGGTTGGGTGGAAAGAAGGAAGAAAAAAATTGGGTAAATTAGGTAGGCCTTTTTGACATGGATATAGTGCTCATTTGAGAAAACAAAAAGTAATAGTTTGAAGTTGAAGTTGTGTTTACCTTACATTTAAAAAATATATATATATATATATTTTTATAGGTAAAAAAAAATATCATTTTAAAAATTATTTTCCAAGACTAATTAAATAATATTTTTAAAAAAATTAAAAAGAAATGCATGTCCACGAGCTCGTAAAATTTATTTGAAAATAGTCTATCATAACTTCAGAATGTTCTCAATTTCAACGTGTTTAATGTGATTCCATGTGGATTTGAATAATGTAGAGTGTATTCGAATTAACCTTATATCATGGAAATAGAGAGATTATTCCGACAAGATTCTTAGCTCAGTTAATAATAATATCAATTTCCTCAAATTATTGTTAACGAAGTCGGTTGTAATTTTCCTTCTAACAATAATTGAAAAATAAACAAGTGACATGTGTTGCGTACTTGCATTGTCCAGGGAGCTGTTGACTAATGACCTAAAAAATGCGTGACGTTTGGAAAGCATGAGCAACCCTTCGCGCACGAGATAGCAATGACAGGAGATTGACCGGTCGGGGCACCAATGATCAATGAAATGAATTGAGAAGCATGAGCTATCAAAGTTAAAATTTCACCGAAGGCACAAATATCATATGATTTCATCTCATTTCTTCAAGTTTGAGTGATCATAAATACTCGGTATAAATGTTGGTGGGAACTGAAAAATAGTAGGTTTCTCATATAATTAAGGAATCAAGTGCACATAAGTTGTTTCAAACAACCATTTTTATAAACAGAATGTTGATTGAAAACTAAAACGAGCAGAAACATGAAGATCCAGCCCAAAGTATGTAATTGGGTTTTTGTATACTTTTTCATAACAGGTTAGTGACAGATGACAACTCTTGGATGTCGATACTCAGTTCAAATATAAAGCTATCATCTTCTTCCTCCATTCACAGACTAAAAGAAATTGAAGATTAGTGTTTCTACCTCCCATTTTTACACTCGCTTACTGTTTCTAATGGTAGATGCTACGGCATTATAAGCTTGGTCGATTTCCTCTTCTGTCATCTCAACGGTATCATCACTGTCATATGCAGCAGCATCTTTGGCAGCTCCACCAGCCTTTCCACCTACGCGAGTCCGCTGCTCTTTCATCTTCAAAAGTTCATCGTCTTCCCTATTTTTGTACTCCAGCTCATAAATTTGTTTACAGGTCACAGCATGTTTGCAAAGATCCTTATGCATTGTAGCTGAACCAACACAACTACCATCAAACTTTGCCAGCTCCTCAACAGCACGAGGGATGCATTCCCACTGTTCAGTTATTTGACGCATATCCTACAAAATTGACAAGAATATAATTAACGATGAAAAAAATAAATAAATTGGAGGATGAGTCAAAACTCATCATCAAAATATGGAGAAAAGAAAAGCAAATACCAAAACCTTTTTTAGTTCAGTGAGTACTTTTTTAATCACTACAGCTTGAACTTATTGATATACCTACTATATTACAAATATCTTCCAACAAAATTTCCACCAATTCTTCCATAGAATCAACATGAATTCAGCTAGAATTCTTAGAATGTTCAAGGACTCGAGACATGATAAAGTTTCTCGATGGTAAGCACAACATTCAAAGGATAGGCTAAGCAAATGAATTTACAACCTACCCTCCATTTCGTAGGATACAGGTATTCATTCAACTTGAAATACAGATCAAAGGACACTTGTAGCCCTAACAAAGAACGTAATCTTTCAAAAGGGCAACATCACAGCCATAAAAGTTCTACAGTGGGTTTATTACACCTTGGTCAATCATCTCTCAGAATATGTGTTCCCTGTTGAAGTTATGCACTTGGTATGAAAAACAAACTGATATTCCAACCCATTATGCTTAATGTTCTCACTTGATGGGACTCAAGTGAGGAAGCACAAAAAGTTCTGCCAGTATGCTAAAACTGTCTGGTACAAGATGTAACACTTGAGGCATTTGCTCATTCAGCTCTATGTAGCAGTGCACCTGTTTTGACAGACTTGGAAACCAGCAGACTTTTCCCATCATTAAACACCATTCCAGTCTCCTACCATTAGCCACCCCTGTACAGTACAACCATCAACAACGACACCCAATAGACACCCCTACAACCATGCCTCCATGCTTGCCAGAACATCCAATGTCCACTCATACTATATCCACACTGGTTACTACCGCCACATTTACAGTTCACTGCCTTCACTCCACTACCTTCCTTTGTGTACAATAATGTATTCGTGATTTCAGAATACTCTCACAAAACAAAAGGTCCTGGTGGGATGAAAAATTAATGGGTAAAAACTTACTTGCACGGGTGTATACGCCAAACCAATAGATGCATGACATGTGTTTGAATGCACACTTTTATCACTTGACCGTGATTAATTAATGAATATTTTTACTACATTAAATCACTTAATCACAGTAAACACCCTGCAGGTTAGTATATACCAATTACTTAATAAATGCAAATTCTCTCATGAAAATGCAGTTCAATAAAGGTAATATCCAACAAAAGAAGTTGTCTAGGATAAAAATTAGTAATCAGATTAAAAGCTGCAACGCTACCTATTTGTCATAGAGAACTATTTATCTTCTTTATGAAGTAAATATAAACAGCGATAACTAATTTGTGTAAAACATGAAATGCTACTTCTATCATCTATAGCAGTAACTAATTTGTGAGAACAGTCCATTAATAATCGATTAATCAACTATGCATCACCCCAAAACTAGTTGGGGTCAACTACATGAAAAAGAGTCCAACATCAACGGTGCAACTTAGTAGTTAGCAACAGAATACATTACCAGTAAATTGGCAAGAAGAAAATCCTGAGGCAGATAAGGCGGAAAAAATTTACAGCACAAGTTATGTTGATAAGAGAGATACTATCCCCCTCTAAGATCCCCCCCCCTCCCGACAGTCCTATATATTACTTAAGGATATCCAAAATGGCAAGTAAGAGAGCAGCAACATAATTCTTACACTATAAACCAAACATTCAATAAAAAATGTGGAAAATTTTAGCAAAAAATAATTTACCTGCCCTTGATTAAGAGAATCTATGGCATCCTGTAAACAGGTAAGAATTCCCTCGGCCGCTATTTTCTTCATCTCATGGGGCTCTGGCTGTATCAAAATCAAATTTGATGAGGTAAGAGAACTTGTGACAAATAATTACATACAATTATGCAGGATTAAGTATTCATTCAGATACTTGGATGGACTATTTCTCGTAATCCCCTCAACACAATTTTCACCTCCTTTCCTTCCCCCCTCTTACCCAAAAACAGAAACATAAAATTCTTGGCCTATTCTTTTAGAAGACAGAGGTCCTTCATTTTTTTTTTTCATTTTTAATAAGACAACACAAAGCTATTTTGTGTCCAAATGAAGATAAGAAGTCGGATTGACAACACTCAAGTATTAGTAAACAACTGATTCCAGAAAATTAGATACAGCACTTTACCCTTTCATCTTGATTCTCCAGCCATGAAATCGTCCGATTAAGATCATTTATAGCCCATTTTTTCACTTTATATGGAGAGAAACCATCTTTTACTTTATCAGAATGTATCTCCTGTCACAACAACATAATGTGGATCACAAAAGCAAGTCCGGATGAATTGATTTTGAATCCTTTTCCGAATTTATATATGGTGAAAAACTTGTGTCAATACAGATAAGTACCTCAGATGAAGGAGCAGCAGTTGTCTTAAAAGGTGAACTTTTCTCTCCTCTTGTTTGAGATTTTCTTGATGTTGATGGTCTTTGATCTGTAAGGACCAAGATGGATAGGTTAACTGTAAGTATCATTCACTATATTGAGCTTAATGAGCCCCGTCCTTCTGTAACACACAAACAGTGTGTGTTTTGGGACAGGGTGGGATGGGGTGAGGAGGAGAGACAAAGACAGAGAGAGGTGACCTTGGCTGGATTCACGAGAAACACTTTGACGTTTCCATGGCTTGCCAGCATGCATAAGGTAAGTTTCGATTTCAACAAGTTTTCGTTGTTTGTAACACTCTGTTATCCACTCCTGAGCAAAACAAGCAAAAACTTTTAGACTTAGAAAGAGTAGAGGTTGTAGAAGAAAAAGTCAAACTCCAACAGTAACCCCATGTCCCCACATAAAGAAGGCAGCGGTGCTTAACGCGAACAAACTTAAGCAAAATAAAACCCACTGTTTATCACACATTTTCATGACATGTGGATGCCTAATACTTCGACATACAGTGCAAAGCACGCTTCCCCGCACACCAAAAGAATAAGATCGACATCTAGGTCTAAGACCCTCCATGTTCAAATAAAGACTGAATTATCATCTTTTGAGGAGGAAATGTCATCAATATAATAGAATGCATTCCCACAAGGAAATTATGAATCTTGCAGTTATATAGAGCAGAAATATTGGAATAAAAGAAAGGATCAAGCAAAATAGTTCTGTTTCAAAAACAAATGACAAAACTGAAGTCTACAGGGATAGGAAACAGAAAAGACAAGTAGTACAACACAGTTAGATTTCGTTCATTGCATTGAAACACATAAAACTAGACGCATCATTATCTCCTAGGACTTCAGCCTCCTTCCTATCATAATGAACTTGCGGAGAATCAACATAAGTTATACAGAAAAAGGAAAGAGGTAAACCTTCGATACAATTGTTCCATTATCTGCTTCAACTTGACGAAACTTTGGTGTATTGGAAAATGCACAGATCAAAAGTGTGGATTCCGAGTTCCAATCAGGTTGATACTTGGCTCCCATTTCTAGAGCCTGGGACCTTAATGTACCACGCTCGGGATTGACAAAACCTGATAGGACAAATACAACCCCTTCCTACAGCATTCAGAATATAGAACAACAAACGAGCTAAATCAATCAGTCAACATACTCCGTAATCCCAAATCACTTAGGCTGACTATATGAAACAATATGTATTCATTCCAGTCCATTCAACACATTTCATGACAAACACAGCTAGAATTAGTTGGGTTTGACTATGCTAATCCTCTATATTCATGTCATTCCATGCTATCCAACCGATTAAATAACTAAAATTAGCAAATTGTCAACTATGTGAAGCCTCTATATTCATTCTAAATGATCCGATCCATCTCATAGCAAATACAACTAAAAATAATTTCAGTCCTGTATGAATCATTAGCATTCATTCTACTATACTTGACCTATTCATAACAATCAGTACAAGTCTACAACATAAATTTCTACATTCATTCTTCTCAATTCAGCCAAATTCATTAGAAAAACAGTCAAAATTAGTTCTATCAACGAAATGAACCATTACGCCCTATACTATTCGCACATTCCATAATTACTGAAGCTAAAATTACTCGGGTTGACTAGTTAAATCCTCCACATTCACTCCCTATATTCGCGCGATAACTTAAGAAAAGCAGCTCGTATAATCGGGAAAATTCTACAATACCATAAGTTTTGAGAAATTTGAAAAATGTGCTTCGTTCTCAGCTTCGTCGGGGAGTGTTTTGCCATGGTTGGTTTTGCGTCTACCTTTCGCTTGCTCAGTTGTCTCCGTCGTCTCACGTTCATCATTTGATTTACTCTGACCCGAACCACTTGAACCGGGTTTCGAACTCATCCATGAAGGAAGATTACGTTTCCTCCCATTCTTGTCACCGTCGTTTGACCCAGACATGTTCAAACGGCGCTGCTTATCGATCGGAATTCGTCAATTTACAGATTGCGAGACATGCAAATTGCTTCAATTTACAGTAATATTGATGAAGAAGCTAACAATTTTTTAGGGTTATTTCCATAAAGAGTAATCACATTCACTTTCGACTATATCAGTTTTTTATTTACTTCGACAAAATCAGTATGCATTTTCATTCGTACTTTTTAATACTATAGCCTATAATTAAGTCTCGTTAGTAGTAGTTAAGGTTTTGCACAAAAAAATAATTAGCAATCACATTTGATTGATATATCTTCTATTAATTTTTAAATTTCTATCTACTTAAGTGCTACATGATTCTAGATAATTTTCAAACAGAATGAAAATCAATTATGAAAAAAAAATTTAAGTAAAAAAATTCCATCAGGTTCTATGTTTATCCCTAATTTTTTTTTTTTATGTATATTAAAATAGAGCAACTTATAAAAATGACTATATTTATAAAATTATTAAAATTTAATATTTATAAGTGTGATATTTATAAAAAACAACTACAGTTTAACTCTTTCTCTAGCTATATTATTGCATATGTTTTTTAGTTTTTTATTTATATATTGATACTGTTTTAATTATAATAAACTAAATAATTAAACTGTATTAATTGTATAAATTCCAATTAGTATTTTTATTTATAAAATTTAAAGTATTAATATATCAAGGATACAAGTGTTTGTAAAAACTTAATGTATTAATATATTAAACAAGATAAAGTATACCAATTTAGCATATGAACACAATAATTTGGAAAATGAACACATGGTTGTTAAACAAAAAATGAATACACTAATATAGTATACATATAAATACATTGTTGTTAAACAAAAGATGAATATATTTGACAATATAGAAACAAAAAAAATGGAAAATAATAGAATGTGTAGGTAGCAAAAGTGTGCAAGTATTAGGTTGTATAAAAAAATTAAAAAAATCAACAAACATCAATCTCTTTTTTGTCAAATTTTTCTTATAATAATTGAGGCTTGGTGTTGACTCATGTATTTGTTTATAAAATATAGTATTAATGTATCTAATTATACTTGTATTGCTTAATCAACCTTTCAAATTCGATAGATTACTTATGTATCCAAATATGATTATATTTAGAAATTACCATTTCAACGTGTGTTAATATAAGAATACAAGTATCTATGTATATAACTATTCTACTATATATAAATTTGACAATTACACAAACCTTAATCTCTTTTTGTTCGTGTTCTTCTTGTACTGCTTTTTTTTTTTATAATTATAGTCATTGCAATGTAGAAAAAAGTCAATCGAAAGCATATAAAAATAGATGCAACATATACGTATACAACTATGATCTTCATAAAAACGAGGAGAAAATCAATCAAGTGATATCTGATAAATTCAAATTACAAAAATTGCTCCTAAAATCATCAAAAATATCTTAAGTTGAAAGAAATTTGGAAGAAAAATATATAAATTTTGTGATATAAGAAGATTGATGAAAGAAAAAGTATTAGTGAAGGTAAACATGGGGAACGAATAACACAAAGCATGCCTAGACATAATAAATTAGGTGTGTATTAATAACTTTCCTATTTAACATTAATAACTTTTCTAATTAGTTTTATATGCAAATAACTTTGCTATTTATTGTCTAATTATATCCATATAACATAAAAAAAAATGAATTGTAGCTATTTATTTCAAATGTATATTAATGTTTGCCATATTTTGTAGTTTTTCCACAAAAGTATCCCAATTTAACAAAAGCCTGATATATTCCTCAATTTTGTTATTTAAAGTTGATATGTTCTCATTATGGAAAAAGTTCATATATACCCCTACTGGTATAGAATTAGCTCACATATACGCTTTTCTCTAACGAAAATGAAAAAATAAATTTTAGTTTAATTTTTTAATAATGTTTTTAAACAAAATATAAATCCATATGAGTATTACTTAATCCTCTTCAAACATATATTTTTTGACCTTTTTTTATATCAATGACTAATTTAGATTTATTATTTTGATATTTAAATTTATTTATGTTTCACTACTATTGTTGTAAAATTTATCATAGATGTCCCAATTTTTTTCCTAATACGAAAACTAAATTATAATATAGTCAAAAAATAATTTTAAATTATAATATAGCAAAAAAATGTTTTAATTTTTTTCTTACATTAAGGAATAAAAGAAAAAATAATTAAGAATAAGAAAGAAGTCAAAAAAATAACTTATCTATGAAAAAAAATTAAAATATACCTTGAACTTTGTGAAAAGGATCATATATACTCCTAAACGGTTTTTAAAATATTAAAAGTTAAATATATAAATTTAAAACTAATTTTTTCGCTCCCATTAATTGAAGGGTATATATAAGCTCATTTTGTAAAAGTATGGATATATATGAGCCATTTATATATCGGTGAGAGTATATATGAGTCACTTTCATAAGAAGTGATATATCAGCTCCAAATGACAAAGTTGAGGAGTATATCAAACCTTTTTTCCTTTTCTTTTTTTTTAAAAGTGCCTCCAAATTATTGGATAATATTTACAAAATTATAACCAAACACAATTTAATTTTTAAATTTTTCATATAAAATTAAAAAAGTTGTAACAGTATATGATATTTAATGTATGATATTATGTGAATATCGATTTTGAGATACTACTCTTTTGAAGTAAATTTGATTATATGTTTCAGTTAAGTTAGTCAAATTTAATTACTTTGCATGTTTTTTACGAGATATAAATTATATTTATTTTTTAAAATACATCTAATAAATTTTTTTTTAGAAAACATATGGTCCAATACCAAATTTAAAATTTTCAAATAAAATGAAAAGTATTTTATTGTCATAGTTAAATTTCAATTAATAATCTTTAAAAAAATTGAATTCTTAAAATTTAAATCAAGAATCACTACTTAATATTAATGATAGAACATAGTTGGCTTGTAAAAGGTTGAGACTTGATAGAATAATACTTGAAGAACATTATATTTCAACAACTTGTTGAATTTCATATTTGGCCTTGAAAAAATTGAACCAATATAAAAAATCATCATTTAATTAAGTTTTAGCTTGCTAATTATTCTCAACCTTTGACCAACACCTTGATAAATGTAACTTGTTCAGTTTGTTTGTGTTGAAGGAAAATAACATATAATGTATAATTATTTTGATCAATATTAAGTATATGATTTAACGTGATATACAATTAAAACTTAATACTATATAGAAATTCAAAAGAATGAAATCAATTCAGATTAGACATTTTGTGTTATCAACGATTTGAATTATTATTATATTATGAAAAATAGACGACACCTGATCAAGTTGATCATATTTTTATATCATAAAATAATAAAATAAACGTATGATCATGCCTCATTGCCTTGTATATAAAATAATAATAATAAACAAGACCAAATTTCAATTATGTAACTGTCTAGCCAAGTTGGAACTAGACTGCACAGTGTTTTGGTTGGGCTGTGGGCCTTAACTATAATTAAACCTGTCTAGCATAAAATAGAGAAAATTTTAGATTGAACAGACATAAATAAGGCTATATATATATATATATATAA